TCTCTACTAAAAATACAAAACATTAGCTGGGCATGGTGGCACGTGCCTGTAATCCCAGCTACTCAGGAGGCTGAGGCAGGAGAATTGCCTGAACCCGGGAGGCAGAGGTTGCGGTGAGCTGAGATCGCGCCATTGCACTCCAGCCTGGGTAACAAGAGCGAAACTCTGTCTCAAAAAATAAATAAATAAATAAATAAATAAATTACCTGTCGTTGAACATTGAGACATTTTTTACTTTTTTACTTAATAGGGCTGCAGTGAATATATTTAAGTACAACCATATATTTATGCATCTATTTCCTCAAGGTAAATTTCTTAAAATCAGGGTATTGATGGTTGGAAAGCCTTTGATAGGTTGTCAAATTGATGCCCCCCCAAGGTTAAATGACTTCTACTTCCAGCAGGAGTGTGTCAGTTCTTTTTCGTCTTGGTCAATCTGTAAAAACATCATGATAACTTGTGCTTGTGAGCTACTAAAAGGTAGAAAACTCCCTGGTTCTTTATGCTTTGAACCGTTGTTTCCTTTTCTTGTTTCTTTTTTATTTTTTGTGAGGCAGGGTCTCTCTGTGTAGCCTAGGCTGCCTCCTGCCTTGGTCTCCCAGAGTTGTGGGATTACAGGTGTGAGCCACTGCGATGAGCATGCTTTGAATTTTTAAATCTCAGTGCCTTTCATTGTCTTAATTTTGGCATAAAATTACCTCATTCTTCAAAAATCATTCCTCAGTAAACTTGGGAAAGCTGCATTAAGGCAGAAAATTCATATAGGCACTATGATGAGAAAGAGTAGAAAGAAAATGGTTCATTGGAAATCATTTGGCCAGGTGAGATGGCTCACCCCTGTGATGGCAACACTTTGGGAGACTGAAGTGAGAGGATCCCTTGAGTCCAGTATGTGAGGCTGTAGTGTGCTACGACAGTGGCACTACACTCCAGCCCAAGTCACAGTGAGACCAGGTTTTTTTTTTTTTTTTTTTTTGAGACAGAGTCTCTCTATTGTCCAGGCTGTCCAGGCTGCCCAGGCTGGGGTGCAGTGGCGCAATCTTGTCTTACTGCAACCTCCACCTCCCAGGTTCAAGCAATTCGCCTGCCTCAGCCTCCCGAGTAGGTGGAATTATAGGTGCCTGCCACCATGCCCAGCTAATTTTTGTATCTTTAGTAGAGTCAGTGTTTCACCATCTTGCCCAGGCTGATCTTAAACTTATGACCTCGTGATCCACCTGCCTTGGCCTCCCAAAGTGCTGGGATTACAGGTGTGAGCCATCACACCCAGCCTTTTTTTTTTTTTTTTTTTTTTGAGACAGAGCCTCACTCTTTCACCCAGGCTGGGGTACTGTGGTGGGATTTGGCTCACTGCAACCTCAGCCTTCCAAGTAGCTGGGATTACAGGCTTGCACCACCACACCCAGCTAATTTTTGTATTTTAGTAGAGACTGGGTTTTATCATGTTGGTGAGGCTGGTCTCAAACTCCTGACCTCAAGTGATCTGCCCACCTCTGCCTCCCAAAGTGCTAGGATTATAAGCATGAGCCACCGCACCTGGCCAGGGACCGTGTCTCATAAATAAATAAATGAAATCAATTGAGTCTAAAATTTCCATCATATAACAGCATGATTTTGTGTGTCCTTCAGTGGTTAAGGATGTGAGTTTTACACACGGATGTTGGGCCTTATAGCCTTGCAGCTCCCACTCCTCTGCTCTAATTTCGTGGCTGGTATTTGGCCGCACACAGGCTTGGGCTGCCTGCCATCCGGGCTGCAGGCAGAGCTGGCAGTGCTCCCTGGAGAAAGGCCACAGGCTGTCACATCTCACTCATTGTAGTTTGTCTTTGAAGGGTAGACTCCCTTTTGACTTTTGCCTGTTTTTGGTCACTCTCCCATGACTTATGTGTGTGAGTAATTTTTCTAGATTTTTTTTCATTCATGTATTTATTCCACAGTCAAAATGTTTGTAATTTAAAGCCGTAACAGTTTTAAAAGATAAAGGAGAGTTTGTGGCACAGCTGCATTAACAAAACAGGCACCAGTCTAAAGTACAGCACTAAACAGGTGTTCTTTGCTCCCATGGTGGGGTAAATACACACAATTACACATTAGGATTTCTCTGAAGATAGGCAGTGAGGCAAATAACCCTTCAAAATGAAATGCCCAGTGAATAGAGGCAGGCTACAAATTCTTTTTAATTCATTTTACTGCAAAATGAAAACAATCCCAGAGGTGACAACCAACTCGAACCCCTCATTTCATGTGCATGGCCTTTGCTTCTGTGTTTTTTCCACAGCCACATCCCAATCCAGAAAAGCTTCCGTGCCCCATGCTCAAAAATGTAACCTGAAGTCCCGGAGGTCCTCAGCACAGACTGACATTAATGAGCCTGTGTGTAACCTTCATCCACAAACTCCAAAGAAATCAGAAGCACAAACACACACAGCACCATTTCTTTTTTTTCTTCTGTCACCCAGGCTAGAGTGCAGTAGCACAATCTCTCTCACCGCCACCTCCACCTCCTGGGTTCAAGCAATTCTTCTGCCTCAGGCTTCTGAGTAGCTGGGACTACAGACCCACACCACACCTGGCTAATTTTTTGTATTTTAGTAGAGATTTCACCCTGTTGTCCAGGCTGGTCTTGAACTCCTGAGCTCAGGCTATCCACCTGCCTTGGCGTTCCAAAGTGCTAGCATTATAGGAGTGAACCACTGTGCCCAGCCTTGCACCATTTCTTTTCTTTTTTTTTTTATTTGAGACAGAGTCTCACTCTATCTCCAGCTGCCAGGCTGGAGTGCAGTGGCGTGATCGCAGCTCACTGCAACCTCTGCCTCCTGGGTGCAAGCAATTCTCCTGCCTCAGCCTCCCGAGTAGCTGGGACTACAGGCACGCGCCACCATGCCCAGCTAATTTTTGTATTTTTAGTAGAGATGGGGTTTCACCATTTTGGCCAGGATGGTCCCAATCTTTTGACCTCGTGATCCACCTGCCTCGGCCTCCCAAAGTGCTGGGATTACAGGCTTGAGCCACCATGCCTGGCTGCACCAGTTCTTTAAACAATGGCTTTAACTGTCAAATGAGCTCTGGCAAGCCGTATGCCTTTCATAAACCAAAATATCGTCCTCATACCTTCCTATTTTTCTTGCAAAACTGTTAAGCCATCCAAGTAAAAAAAAATTTTTAGGCCAGGTTTGGTGGTTCATGCCTATAATCCCAGAACTTTGGGAGGCAGAGGCAGGCAGATCACAAGGTCAGGAGTTCAAGACCAGCCTGGTCAACAGGGTGAAACGCTGTGTCTACTAGAAATACAAAAGTTAGCTGGGTGTGGTGGTGGACACCTGTAATCCCAACTACTGGGGAGGCTGAGGCAGGAGAATCACTGGAACCCAGGAGGCAGAGCTTGCCGTGAGGCAAGATTGCACCACTGTATTCCAGCCTGGGCGAAAGAGCCAGACTCTGTCCCAAAAGAAATAAAAATAAAAAACTAAATTAATTTAACAATGAAAAGGAAAATTCAAAGGATTTATGCCAAAAAACAACCAGTCCTCTGCAGCCTAACTCCTTTGCTTTTGTACTGCGAAGCCACGTAGAGGGCGATCAGGCAGGAGATGGTCCCTCCCACGGTCAGCACCATGGTGGTCGGTAAAGCATTTGGTCAGGCAGGCCTCATTTCAGGTGGATGAGCACAGCATCAGCATTCTGGAAAACATTCTGCAGCTCTGGAACTTTGTTTTTCCCAGCATAATCCTATGCTGTGGAATCCGAGGTCAGTTTGGTTGGTGTGGCAAATATAAGTGGTGCTTCTGTGAAAACTACAGGCTTTCCCTGTGGGCTATAGGCCTCCGAAGCCCATGTTCCCGCCAACTTCCGCATGAAGCCACTAAATTCATAGTACATGATGCCTGGAATCTGGCTTCCCGTGTCCGCTGCCTGCATGACTGCCTCAATTTTTCTAGATTTTTAAAATCTTTGCTGCAGGAAGGTTTGTCTGACCAAGCTAACTCTGCCACTACCAGAAACGTGGAAGCTGTAACCTCCCCAATTTTCTGTCTTTCCTTCCTTCCTTCCTTCCTTCCTTCCTTCCTTCCTTCCTTCCTTCCTTCCTTCCATCCTATCTCAGCCTCCTGAGTAGCTGGGACTACAGGTGCACACCACCACACCCGGCTAATTTTTTGTATTTTTAGTAGAAATGGGGTTTCACCATGTTGACCAGAATGGTCTCAATCTCCTGATCTCATGATTCGCCCACCTTGGCCTTCCACAATGCTGGGATTTCAGATGTGAGACAGCATGCCTGGCCCAGTTATCTTTAAACAGGCTTTTAAAATCTTTTAAATAGTTTCACTTGAACTTACTTGAAATGCCCACATCAGACTTTGAGTCAGAGGACCTAGGGTGGGCTTCTATCACTACGACTTTTATTTATTTATGTATCTATTTATTTATAAAGGTACAACCATGTTCATCATTACTAGTCATATAGTCTAAATTAGCAAAACCATAGCAAAATAAAATATAATATTAATATATTAATATAGACATTAAAAGATGTTTTTGAATGCACTTAATTTTTAAAAAATTTTTGTGGGTACATAGTAGGTGTATATATTTATGGAGTACATACAATATTTTGATAAGTGCAGAATAATCATATCATGGAAAATTGGGTGTCCATCCCCTCAAGCATTTAGTTATACTCTTTTAGTTATATTTCAGTATTATGAGTACTACCTTTAGGTTTGTGGGCAGAGCCTTGGTTTCTTTATTTACTAAATAGCAATACTAATTAATAAAACATTCTGCAGCATGACTGAGATAATGGATGGGAAGGTGCATTATACATTTATTCAGCAAATATTTATTAAGAAGCTTTCATGTGGCAGGCTCTATTCTAGTACTGGGGTTTGGTAGTGAATAAGAAAAACCTGCCCTATGTTGCTTTTATAAATTGCAAAACACAAATATTGTGTCATAAATGGCACCATACAAATTGTTCACAGCAATGTCTCCAACCTGGGAGAAATATGTACGTGTGTGATAAACTTTTGTTTTATGTATTTTTATTATATATTATAAAATTTTTTTGTATGTGAGGGGGTCTCACTGATGTCGTCCAGGCTGGTCTCAAACTTTTGGCCTCAAGTAATTCTCCTGCCTCAGCCTCCCTCGGTGTTGGGATTGTAAGTGTGAACCAGCGGACCCTGGCCAGTGCCTTCATTTTTACATCCCTCCCGGCACTAAACTGATGCCTTGCACATAGAGACTCAGTAATTATTAGTTTATTTTTTTATTTTTATTTTTCTCAAGAGAGGGTCTCCCTCTGTGCCCCAGGCTGGAGAGAAGTGGCCTGGTGCAATCTCAGCTCACTGCCACCTCTGTGTCCCGGGCTCTGGTGATCCTCCCGCCTGGCCAGTAGTAGCTGGTACTGTAGGCACACACTACCACACCCAGGTGAATTTTTCCATTTTTATTAAAGATGAGATTTTGCCATGTTGCCCAGGCTGCTCTGGAACTCCTGGGCTCAAGTGATTCCCCTGCTGCCTCCTCCCAAAGTGCTGGGATTATAGGCATGAACCACCTCGCCTGGCTAAGACTCAGTAATTGTTAGTTTTAAATAGGGGTATGCATGTTTTGGTTTCACGTATCGGTTTACTGGATTAATGCCTCTCATCACCAAAATTTGCTCTTATTCTGTGATAAGTGCTACCACCACGACCATTCTTTGAAGCCCCCGAACAAGACACTTGTCAGCTTTGCTCTGTCCTGACAGAAAAGGATAGTGCTTACCACCTAACTCTGCAGATGGATGATGGGAAGACTATATCACTGCCAGTTAATTTGGGAAATACACTAAATAGTTCTAATGAATATTGCAGAGGTGTAAATAAGAAATCAGGTCAATGAAAGAAGTACCTGGGCTTTTAAAGACAGCAGGTCAACATTTTTCCCCCTTCGGAGTGTGTAGTAAGTGAATGCATGTGGCCTTGCAAAGGCCCTTGAGAATGCCTATTCTGGGCATTTCATGCAGATACAATATGTTGTCTTTTTATTATTTTGTTTTTGAGATGAGTCTCTCTCTGTCACCCAGGCTGGAGTGAGGTGCAGTGGCATGATCTTGGCTTACTATAATCTCTGCCTCCAGGGTTCAATTGATTCTTCTTCCTCAGCCTCCCAAGTAGCCGGGATTACAGGCATGCCCGGCTCATTATTGTATTTTCATTAGAGACAGGGTTTCACTATGCTGGCCAGGCTGGTCTAGAACTCCTGGGTTCAAGTGATCCACCCACCTCAGCCTCCGAAAGTGCTGGGATTACAGGTGTGAGCCACCATACACGACCCCTTTATTTTGTTGCTGTTATACTGCATTGTATAGATGGTGCCACATTTTGTCTATCCGTTCATCAGTTGAGGTGCATTTGGGTTGCTTCTACTTTTTGGCTTTTATGAATCATGCTGCTATGAACATTCAAGTTTTATGTGGATGTATATTTTCATTTTCTTGGGTATATAATATATATATGTATATTATATATATGCACGTGTATATATATACATATTACATATATAGTGTGTGTGTGTGTGTGTGTGTATATATATGTACTATATATGTAATACCTAGTAGTGGAATTGCTAGGTCATGTTGTAACTCTGTTTAACCTTTTGAGGAACTGCTGGACTTTTCCAGAGTGGCTACAACCATTTTACATTCTCATAAGCAGTGTATTTCCTGGATTTTAGCAATCTAGTTTCTCTCTGTGTTTAAACTTCTTTTAATCAGAGAGTTTTAATGTTAAGGTATTTAGATAATCCAATTACAACTGATGGAATGAAAGTACAGAGTTCATAGCTTAAGCATCTCCCGTGAACTCATGTTTTAATTCTAAGCAGTGTTTATTTTGGTAATTCTTTTTAATATTTTGGTAATTCTTTTTAAGTATCTTTGTTGGATATTTCATTAATAAAAGGGAAATATTTTAGTGAATTTTATTGACTGAGATAAATTTATATGCTATGAAATTTTAAAAACAAAAACTGGTTGTGTAATAAAATTGCAGATAATCATGTAGAATAAAAATTTCCAAAGAAGCAGTTAAAGTATGGTGATAAATGGATTAATACATTCGATGGTTCTGTGAATTCAGGAGCAATAAATGTTAATTGTGTGCTTGTTCTTTCCAGACACCTAGTCTTAGAAATTTTTGTTCAACTCTCAACCCCTCTCCCTGCCACCTTCCTGCAGTACCACCCGGGCACCCCCATTGTGTGATAGAATACGGCTCCAGTAGCACAGTGCCAAGAAGTTACTATACACAACATTTGTACTTTTAAGGACTTTTGGTTTAGTAGAGTTGTCATAGTATGTGAATTTATTGCTTATGTCAATAAAAGCTTTTTAGTATGGCTTTATCTGTGTGGTATTTGAAATTACCTGCAGTTTGAAAATTAATAATCTGATAATCACTCCTCATTTTCAGGGTTACTTGATTAGCTGTGTTTGGAACTGCTACCGATACATCAATGGCAGGAACTCCTCCGATGTCCTGGCTTACGTTACCAGCAATGACAATACGGTAGGTATGGTGTCACTTGCCCACACCTCTACTGTATGATGATCTTTAAATGTTTCTAGTGTCTGCTGTATTTTCATTGTTACTGAAACATACTCATGAGGTGCTTAGTTATCAAAAGATTCATCTTCGTTGTCAAAACATTCATTTAACTTTAAAGTGAAATGAAATGTATTTTGTTTTTCTTACAGGACATTAACATGTAGGTGGCTCAACTCTGGTTTATTTTAAAATATGTTACAGATAGATAGTATATGTACCTTACCATAATTATGAATCTTAACCTTGCATTATTAAACCATGGTATATAATTCTAGATATTGCTTCTGCATTGTATGACATTATGTTACCTCACTTTCTATGTCGAGATAAACTGAGATGCAATGTTTACAGGTAGTTAAAAAAAAAAAAAGGTTATTACGTCTTCATAACTTACCCTTTGTATGTATTCTTAGTAAAAGAATTTAGATGATCTCTGTTCTGCTACTAGTTGTTCATACTTTAAAATGACAAACCTGTCATAAAAGATCTTTGAAAATGTATCTTCACTGGAAGAGTTCATGAAAACATATGGACTTTATGTAAATTATCTTGAAATTTCCTGGTTCATGGTAAGATGAAGGTATAAGTCCGCAGGATGTCTCCATCGTCAGTGTTTTCAGCACAGGGCCTGATGTCATCCTCAGTACCAGGAAGTGCTCCATGTGCAGTTAGTGAAAATGATGGCAATGGATGACTTGTCACTGTGTGGCACGGGACAGGATGGGTGGGTGAAAATGGATAGGATCAGACAGGACGGAATGGACTGGACATGTGAAAGGAACACAAACGGTAGGAGGTCACATTTATACTAGAGTAGAGTTTTGTGTTTTTGTTTTTTCTGGTGACTTGCTCACTCTGACCTGACCAAAATCATCTAGCCTGTTCCTCACTTTACTTTCTTGTGTATAAAATGAGAATAAAACAATTACAGATTTTGTATTAAATATGTGGGTGTAAACTGCTGTATTACTGAGAACTCTGGGATTTTTAAAGCATGTTATGCATGAACAGTTTTTCTATATGCTCACCACACATTTCTTGAGTTCCATCAAATACACATGAGCAATGGTTTAATAGACAGCCGTGACCAGATTCACAAAACCTGGCCCACCCAGATGCTGAGGAGGCTTGTTTTGGAAGTCTGCAGAATTCTGTGTATTAATTACAGTGATCACGTGTTCTATTCAACCTCTTTAAAAAATCACTTCTGGGTCTATAACTCTCTTCAAAGAAATATCTGTTCCAAATTGTTGTGATTTTGATTAAATTACTGGTTTTGGAATTTTCCCCCTTTTCTCAGAGCTGTTGGGTATTTTTGTTTGTTTGTTTTGCCCATTAACTGTTTTTGAGTTTCGCCCTGGCTGGACTGAAGTGGTGTGAACTCGGCTCACTGCAACCTCCTCCGTGACCCTCACCCCCGCCCCTGCTGATTCAAGTGATTCTTTCCTGCCTCAGCCTGCCAGGTAGCTGGGATTGTAGGTGCCTGCCACCATGCCTGGCTAATTTTTGTATTTTTAGTAGAGGTGGGGTTTTCCCAGTTTGACCAGGTTGGTCTTAAACTCCTGACCGCAGGTGATCTACCTGCCATGGCCTCCCATAGTGCTAGGATTCTAGGTGTGACACTGTGGCCGGCCTGTTTTGCCCAACTTTTGCAGAATGCAAATTGTTGGGTGTTTAACTATCTATATATTTTTTTCCTGCTTTTTCTTAAAAAACAACAAAACCACAAAAAAAAATTCCATAATTAGTGTCCTACTGCACTAATGAAAAATGTAAGCAAGGTGTTTGAGGAACCAATAAATTTGTGAAACAAAATACATCAGAACCTCTTTGTAAGTTTCATGGCGCATAGGGCTTGTAAAGCCACCATCTTTTAGAAGTATCTCAGAGCAGAGAATAATGCCCATATTGCAGGTGCTTGTTTTGATATTGTGGTGTTATGAAAGGGAAGGAGATTCATCCACGGTTCCTGGCTCACAACTTCATAGCCATTGTTAGTCTTTGGTTATTACCCTAGGCGTGTCAGGCCCCAAAGAATCTCTGACTTACTCCTACCCTAAGACATGATTCTAATCTCCCCCTTCCTTTCTATATGTGAGTTTTAGGAACTTGCTAGAGACAGTCCAGCCTCATACCCTCAGGGAAGGAAAGCTGACCATCCTTAGGAACCTGGAGGTTTCTTGAGGGTGGTACACCCAGGAAGGGCATGGAAACTTCATGCCCTTCCCCCGTAACTATGAAACTCTTCATCTGTATCCCTTGCAGTATCCTTTATAATAAACCAGTAAACCTTAGTAATGGTTTCTCTGAGTTCTGTGAGGTGCTGTAGCAAAGTAATCNTATTTGGTCCACTGCTCTTTAGGCAGGATCTGATGCTTCATGGACAGGTCCAGTGCCCTCTTAATGCGAAACATCCTGTCATTATAAAGGTTCTCAGGAAGCCTTCTTATGGCTTCCTTTATGTCTTTATCCTCGTATATTGTATCATCTCGCAGTAGCCCCAGTTTATTGAATCCTGCAGCATTGTAATACCATTTTCGCATCATCTCCAGTAACCTGCTTGATGCTGAAACAGCCGGCGTGCCAGCCATTATGACCCGAATTCTGTGTATTAATTACAGTGATCACATGTTCTATTCAACCCCTTTAAAAAATCACTCCTGGGTCTATAACTCTCTTCAAAGAAATATCCGCTCAAAATTTTTGGTGTGATTTTGATTAAATTACAGGTTTAGGAATTTTTCCCCTTTTCTCTGAATTATAGGGTATTTTTGTTTGTTTTACCCATTAACTGTTTTTGAGTTTTGCCCAGGCTGGACTGAAGTGGCATGAACTTGGCTCACTGCAACCTCCTCTGCGACCCCCACCCCTGCCCCCACTGATTCAAGTGATTCTCTCCTTCCTCAGTCTGCTGAGTAGCTGGGATTATAGGTGTCTGCCACCATGCCTGGCTAATTTTTGTATTTTTAGTAAAGACGGGCTTTTGCCAATTTGGCCAGGTTGGTCTCAAACTCCTGACCTCAGGTGATCTACCTGCCATGGCCTACCAAAGTGCTAGGATTATAGATGTGACACCATGGCTGGCCTGTTTTACCCATTAATTTTTGCAGATGGCAAATTGTTTGGTGTTTATCTATATATATTTTCCCTGCTTTTTCTTAAAAAAACAAACAAACAAACTCTATAATTAGTGTCCTACTGAACTAATGAAAAATGTAAACAAGGTTTGAGATTTTTAAGTTTGAGGAACCAATAAATTTGTGAAACAAAATACATCAGAAACTCTTTGTAAGTTTCATGGCGCATAGGGCTTATAAAGCCACCATCTTTTAGAAGTATCTCAGAGCAGAGAATAATGCCCATATTGCAGGTGCTTGTTTTGATATTGTGGTGTTATGAAAGGGAAGGAGATTCATCCACGGTTCCTGGCTCACAACTTCATAGCCATTGTTTGTCTTTGGTTGTTATCCTAGGTGTTTCAGGCCCTAAGGAATCTCTGACTTACTCCTACCCTAAGGCATGATTCTAATCTCTCCCTTCCTTTCTGAATGTGGGTTTTAGGACCTTGCTTGGGGCCGTTCTGGTTTCTTCCCTTCGGGGAGGGAAGGTTGCCCTTCTTTGGGACCTTGGGGTTTCTTTGGGGTTGTTCCCCCCGGGAGGGGCTTGGAACTTTCTTGCCTTTCCCCGTTACTTTTGAATTTTTTCTTTTTTTTCCTTTGCGTTTTCTTTTTTATTAACCCGTTAACCTTTGTTATTGTTTTTTTTGGTTTTTTTGGGTTGTTTTGGCAAGTTATTGGGTTCCAAGGGTTCCAAATTTTCTTGGGACCTTCACTTTGAGGGTTGTTTGTTCGGAGGTTCTTGGGGCCTGGCTTTGGGTTTTTTTTGGTTGGGGGGGGGCCCTTTTTGGGGCTTGGGCCTTAACCTGTGTGATCTGACTCTATCTCCAGGTAGATAGACCCAGTTGGTATCTGCTGCTTGTTGGAGGTGCAGTGGCATGATCTCAGTTCACTGCAACCTCCACCTCCCGGGTTCAAGTTACTCTCCTGCCTCAGCCTCCCTTGTAGCTGGGACTACAGGCGCATGCCATCATACCTAGCTATTTTTGTATTTTTAGTAGAGATGGGGGTTTCACCATGTTGGTCAGGCTGGTCTCAAACTCCTCACCTCATGATCCACCCACCTCAGCCTCCCAAAGTGCTGGGATTACAGGCGTGAGCCACTGTGCCCTGTCAGTCTATGATCACTTTCTTACTGTCTGGTATGACAAGATGCTCTAGGCTCATCTGGTATATTTCTTGCCCCAGGCGTGGAATGAACCATTTCTCCAGGCAGCCCTGCCTATGTTTCATAAGAAATGACCTCTGGAGACCATAATCTGGATTTCTAGGGTTAGAGGACAGGCTTTTTGTTTGGGTTTTGGCTTTTTTAAGCAGGGCTCTGCATGTTTAAAGATTGCTTAGAACTAAAGCAGTTAATGTCAGTATTATCTATTAAGAAAACCAAAGTTACTGAAGCCTCCCCCTGAGACGCTAATGGGGCTGGAATGATCTAGATCTGTCATTTTCCCTGGTCTCCGTAGCTATGTGAAGAACCTCACCATGTATAATATTGTTGGGAATCCACAGTTATATAGTAACATGTCATGCCTTGCTTTCACTTACTTTTAAGTATTAGGCCAGATAGCTTTTCTCCCAGGCTGAATAGTTTCAGGTTGACCTCTGTGGAAAGATACTGGGTCTCTTGCTGGTAGAAAATAAAAGTGCTTTTTTCTCCTCTTTAAAACAGTATGCATGTTATTATCCAGACGTGTTCTTTCCCAAATTCTTCTCAGAGTGAGGATAGAGAAGAGTTATTAGGTATCGGAGGTCATTCCCTGGGTTAATGTCTCCTCCAGTTTCCCAGCTAAACCAAACCACATGCTTTGAAAGGAATGCCTAACACAGAAGGTCCCAAACTCTATT